CTAGGCTGTCGAGGAAAGACTACAAGTGCCAAGTCGATCACGCGATCTGTTCAAACACTATACGGCAAAATTAAAAGAATACTTCACTAACACACGTATACACACACGCGTTCACGCGCACACGCGCAAAACCGTTCGGTAGTACCTCTTACCTCACGAGTCATACTCGGAAATCGCATGCGGGTGACGAGCACACGGCAAGGGAAAGAACTACGTTCACTTTCTCGAGTTGCAAGCGGATCGTGCACACGCCTCGAAAATCGCACAGCTACTAGATCACCGTGATGTCAGGTGTTGTCGGGCCGATTAAAGCCGCGCCGCATGGGCGCGCGATAAGGCGTCTTTCGGCGTCGGTCGAGGGAGAGACAGAGTGAGAGATAAGAGGGATATCTAGCCTTCGCTATCGGGGCAAGAGTCTCTCCGTGGAATTCACGGGATTCACCGACCAAACGCAATCCGTCCGACTCTAGGCGAGACCGCGATGAGGGGAGAATTTGATCAGGGCCTACCTTGTCCCCGTTCGTCGACTAATTAGGCGCGTGCCGAAAGTTCCGATAAGCGACAACGCGCACGAGCGAATGCTATCGGTGTATGACGTCACCTCAACTTATCTTAACTTCACTCTCTATAAGTCTATCGGTGGATTATCACTGGAGACAGTGAATATTCACTGATTCACTGTTATAGAATAAGTACAACACTGAATTAGTTTTCAGTGATAATGCACCGACTTTTAAGGTCTGTGTCCACGATGTTTAGAACTTGGCTCAAGTTCTAGATCCGAGAAATGCGTAGCCAATCAACTTGCAGCTGTTCTGCAAAAGCTGCAAGTTGATTGGCTATAGAAGAATTCTCTCTTAAAATTTGTCCTGAAAATCACGTAATCTTGGGACATGGCATTTCGAAGACCTTTATGAGAGTTCTTGGAAATTTTACCACACATTTTACTAGTACAATGTACGGTAAAATTTCAAAACACTGTTGTCCCACAATTACATGATTTTGAGGGTAATTTCAAGAGAAAGTTCTCTCCGTGTACATTTCCCGTAACTAGAACTTGGACACAGTTCTTGGATCGTGGACACAAGAACTTAAGAGAGAGAGAGAGAGTAGATTGTTCAAAACCGTTCCTTTCTTTAAGGATGACCGTCTCAGTACTGATCAATGTCTCGTCTCTCTTCCCCCGGTCGTTCCTCGCTACTGAGACAAGACGTACGAGAAGTCGCGTGGATATTTCGCGCGGAGAACTGCCGAAGGTAGGCCCCGAACCCGAACGGGGAGGGCTCTATCCGTACAGACATGCGTGTCCCGTGAAACTGCCATTCGTTCTGGGAATCTACTGGAAGAAAGAAAAGAAAAAAGAAGCCGGCTCGTCTCTCGACACGGTGTCCCACACGGGGGCCAGCACACAGCAACAAGCAAATCGCTGCTTGCTCGAAGCAGTTAAGAGTACCATGGGCGTCTTACCTCTCTTCGGTGTATCGAGGATCGAGAGGCGCGATGGAAAGAGGAGCGATCGCGACCCGCTGGATGGATAATATCGTTGGCGGCGACGTGGCTCGCGTGCTCTCGCCCTTTTCTTACGGCCGGCTCTTTATTAGTAATTAACTGTCACCGCGATTGACCCTCGACACCGCGCGTCACGTGGCCGACATTGTCCGTCGTACTTTGAACGCGGCTTGTTGCTAAAAGAGCTGCTATTTACGCGCCCTATTAACCGCGGAGATGAACAGCACCAAAAGATTCGCGCGCAGACGAGTTATTCGTATTGTTTAACGGATATCTCGTTAACTAAATTAAAAACCCACCATTTACACTCGTCGTACGAACGAATCATGGCGAATCCAGTCGCTTCCACTTAGTGCGCACTGAGCGCATACTAAGACTTGTCTACAGTCAATTCTTATATTTAAGGATCGTCTTGGATACCTCTTGAAATATTTTTTATTCAGAAAAGTGGCCTGTGTAGCGTTCGTACGAATCATTTTTTCACTGAATACTCTTTGAACATGTATTTAAGACAAAGTTAAATATACAGCAAAGTCCTCTACTATGAGACAGCAGGTTTTTAACACCCAAATTCAATCGCAAATCGCAATGATTACGCGATCTAACAATAAACTTTTCACTCCAAGGGCAATAAATTCATGGTGAAATCAACAGATGATGCCTATTAATTTAACAGAAACCTCGCTATCTCATCCTGGGATCCTATCTCATAACAGGAAACTTTCCTCTAAGAATTGACTATAAACAAGTCTCAGTGTGCGCTCAGTGCGCACTGGTGCAAGCAACCGAATTCGCGATCAATCAATTCGAATTGAATGACGGAAGGACGAGATTTGCGGGTTCCCTCGACTGATCCCGGAACCGATTTTTCTTCGACAATCGCAGTTTTTCAACGTGGCGAAAGTAAGCGACGAAATCAAAAGGAAGAACGAAAAAGAAGTTAGCAGGACTCTGATACTCGGCGCAATTGGATCCGCGTGAATGCGTGTGAAGAAAAATAATACACGGCAAGGTTTCGTTGGCCAGTGTACGCTATATTTCATCGTTTGCTCATTCTCTCTCGGTCGACCGCTTGTATGACAATTAGTTCCATGACAATTAGTCGTAATTGCGCGTCAAGTGCCGGCGAGTTCTCTCAAAGTCTACGCAAGCGAAAGTCATTCGGGCGTCTCCTCGGGGAACCGCCCCCGCGATACCGCCGATACTTCAATCGACGTGCACTCGGACTTAATATCATAATTAAGATGAGGAGAAGCGATTCAACGTGTTATCACAATGGTTTACTCCCGCCCACGGCCGATATCGGCGGTCAACTTTAATCGCGGTCCAGTTTCCGTACCGGATCGTTTCGTTCGTTCTCTTCCGCAACGGAGGCGGGGCCGGCTAAACCGTCGCGATTAAAGTCAATTAATGCCGAGATCGGCCGTTCAACGTCTTCCTTAAACGGCGTGTATGCATATTCGATAGCGCTTATAGGCCGCCTGCTGCCCGCTGTTACGTCCGCGGACAGATCGGCGATACCGCAACTGTGAACTCCACAAGTCGTTTGCGCCGTTATAACGCGTAGCGGCGGCTTTCACGGTAGAGTTTCTGCATAATCCGAACTAAGAGTCTACATACTCGTAACCGGAGATTATCTTATTAGCTTCGCGCCCGCGTCGCGCCTATTTACATGACTAGCGGATGGCGTGCGCGCGGCTTAGATTTACGTAATTTCGCGCTCAACGAGCGTGGAGACGACGGCGATTTCGCGCGTCCTCGTTAACGCTGAATCCCTTAAAGATAAAACGATCCCTCCGTCCCGGAGGGGCCCTCGGGTCCCGAAGAACTGGGAGCGGAACCCTCGAGCCGGACGACCTCTGCGAAGGGAGAAGAGAGCCGCGCGACCGCCCAGTCTATTCGGTCCGCTCGGACCACGCGGCGGCTAAGGTGGCCTCTCGAAGAGCGGCGAGAGCTGCTCCTGGGGAAGCCTCGTTCTCTCAGCGTTTCGCGCACCCTCGACACACCCTCGCGCCCGACGAGACGACGGCGGGGCTCTACGCGCGAGACCTAGCACGGCTTGTCTAGCGGCTGACGAAAAAGCGGAGGACAGTTGTTATATTGCCGGGGAAGCTGGTCCTCGCGTCTTTACGAAGTTTTCGAGGCGTTGCCGGCTTGCTGATCGCTTCTAACCTCGGCGACGGGGTGCTTGTCCGTCGACGCGCCGACGCGGTTCACCGTGATGAACGGCGTGACCGGCGGCGTCGTGGGTGCCTTGCCCTGCGGCACCACCACCTTCTCGCACACCTCCACCACGGTGCGACGTCGTTCCGCAGGCGGTAGCGCATCTTCGTGACGTCGCGCGCTCGCTGGGGGCAGCCTCGACGAGGGTGAGGGCGGGAGCTCCGCCGAACTTGCTCGCGGGGACACGGGCGAGGAGATCGTCTCGACGCTCGCCGCACTTTCGGACGTTCTCCGGATCAAACAGGGAGACTGGCTCGTCGAGGGCTTGCTACACGCGCCGTGCGCCTTCGACGGCGAAGTCTTGGAGGCGGACGAGATCAAGACAGAGTCGGAACTCGTTGGCGAGGACTTGGCGGGTTTGCGAGGCAGCGGGGTGGGAATCTTGGATGTGGCGCGGCAGGAGGCAGGCTTGGGAAGCGGGCCGGCCTCGAGAGAGAGGCTGGTCGGGATCGTCGTCGCTCTGACGGAGGGAAACGACAATTGGTACGTCTCCGCGCCGGCGACGGTGTCCGCACACGGCTGAGGGAGACCGGAGGGGTGTTCCTTGGACAGGCTCTGCCGTTTCGCTTGGCTGACGAATTTCGGTCTCGCCTGCTCGATGCACAGCTTCAGACTGGCCGACACTACGGACTCGTTGGGACTTGGCTCGGAATCTGTCTTGAACTCGGCCGCGTCTTTGCCGAACGTTCGCGGTTTCGAAAGGTTCTCGGGGACCGTTGTCTCTCGCGGAGGTAGCTTGGGACTCGGATGGATGATCGCGCGAAGTACGGAGGTATGCGAACGAAGTGTATTAGAATTAGTAATGGTCTCTACGCGCGCCTGCGGCTGCGATTTGTTAGTCGATAGTTCCCCAGAGGTGTCAGCAGTACCCTACAGAATCAGAGAGTTATAACCCGATATGTAGTCATCCGAAACCCGTAACCATAAGCGGAAGGAAGAAAAGGAGTTGGTAGAAAGAGGTTGTAGTAAGACAGAAATAGCGTTCGATGTCTGATCTTTCAAATCTACACGGAGAGAATTTCTCCCTAAAATTTATCCTGAAAATCACGTAATCGTGCGACAACGTGGCGTTTCGAAGACCTTTATGAGAGTTTTTGAGATTTTACCACACCAATGTATGGTAAATAAAAAAAACTCATAAAGGTCTTCGAATTGCCACGTTGTCCCACGATTACGTGATTTCCGGGGTAAATTTTAAGAGAACATTCTTTCCATGTAGAATATACGTATCGAAAAAATGCATCAGCTAACAATGGAATTGTTTTTCTGGAATTATGGATATCGATTAAAATTTGTAAAATTTCAACTCAAGTTGCCATACACCTACACCTTAGAGTGTAAAATAAAAATCGAAATACAAATATCTTTTTTTCTCTTCGAATACGAGACTTTTGGATTTGAATTGTGAGGTCTCAAGGGCGCTTCAACACATCTCTTACCTTGTTCACTGCTACTGCCTCCCGGTGGCTGGCGAACTGCGAGTGCGTAGCCGTCGTGGTGTCGCTCGGCGCCTCCACCGTCGCGCCCGACGTCGATGCGTCCTCCTGGACGACGGACGACGTAGCCTTGACCCTCTCCTCGACGACGACCTCTCGTCGGTCGACGATCGCGCCGCTGGTGTGCTGCACGATCTCCTCGTCGATCGGCTCGTCCGCCTGGCTGACCGAGCAACTTACGTCCGCGGTATGGATACCCGAGTCCTCGCGGTCTGTGTCGTTCAGGAGTTCCGCGGATGACGACGAGGCGGGATACTGGCTCCTACCGTAGTCGAGCTCCTCGAGGCTCTGCACGCGCTCGAAGGTGTCCGGGCCGCTGGACGCGTCGGCGTCCAGGGAGTCCAGGCTCCGGTGGAAGACGGCTCGCGGTACGCGATATTCCGAGTCGGGCGACGAGCTTCTCTCGCTGGGCGTCGACGTGTCGACTCTGCTCTCTTGATCGCGGAAACAGAGCGGATGCTTGCCGACGGGCCCTCGTTTGTCCGTCGCGTCCTTGCTCCTGGCGGAGTCCAGCGCGCTGAGACGATCCTTAATTGTCCTGGCGGTGAGTTCGCCGTTGTGCGTGCGCGACTCGTTCGCCGTAGTCGGCACCGAGGACTCGTCGCTGCTGCTGTACTTCTCCAGAGTGGACAGTCTCTCCCTGAGAGGCCTCACCGTCTCCAGATCCTCCGTGCTGAGCTTACGGTGAACGGAGCTCTTGCTCTCTCGCTCCGAAGCTTGCTTTTCCAAGTGGGTAAGCCTCTCCCGGATGGAGCTCATGTCACCGGACAATCGGTTGAGGGTCTTGTTGGCGGCTTTGTCGCCGTTCTCCGTCTCGTACTTCTGCCTCTCGAGACTCGACAGTCTCTCCTTGATCGATTTCGTGCCGGTGAAGTCACCGGACAGTCTGTTGTTCGTCTTGTTGTCGCTGTTCTTCTGCGACGCCTTCTCGAACACCTCGCGTCGCTTCAGTATATCCACTTTCACCATCGACACCGGGGACTTACTACTGTCGTCGTTCAAGCTCGTCTTCGAACCGTTCACCGACGATTTTGCCGCCTCCAGCTTGGCGTCGATCCCGGTCAAGGATCTCCGCGGTATGTTTTGCGATACTCTCGACACGTAGCCACGAATGGCGCCTTCGTACGTGTACTCCTCCGGTTCGGGCGAGCTCGTTGTCGCGGTAGTACCAGAATCGTACTCCTGATTGTGATTCAGACTGCCATGGAAACCAGCGCCGAACATTTTTCTCGCGGCAGACGTCGCGATCGTCGTCGCCGTCGTTGTCGTCGTCGCCGTCGTCGATGCCATCGTATCCGCCATCGTCGCCGTCGTTGCTGACGCGATCGTTGCGGTTGCTGATGCAGTCGTGACTGTTGTCGCCGTCGGAGTCAGCGTCGTCATCGTGGATGAGGTCATGTCGCTGGCGTTGTCGACGTCCGAATGGCTCTTCTCGATCTCGCTGTCCCTGTCGCTCTACAATCGGACGAGCGAATGTAATGTTGTCAAGACACTCACTGTTCTCATAAAGATATCTACAAAGTGCTTCGCTTTCAAGTTACTATAAAGTAGAAAAAACATGCGCTTTAACGTTCAACTTGTAACGTGTTATTCGTTTCCAGTCGATCTAATATAGAAATCACTATTGATCGCGCGACGGGTAACTTGAGACTAGAGAAATGTTTGCGGCAGACACATGACGTAAACAAACGTAAGAATATACAGCGGTCATGTCCAAGAGATTAATGTAGATTTGGCGAGATGACGTTGCCACGTGACGGTGCGTGTTGAATTCACCAGCCGATACTCTCGCGCGAAATACGTGAATTAATGATAAAAAAAAATAAAAAATGCGCGAATTAAAATTTTACGTAACAACGTGACTTCGTTGATTTGCCTAAGATACATAAAAAGAAGATATTGCCGAGTAATTCGGTAGACAATTGAAATGATAAATTTTCCTGGCCGTAGAAGAACTTGTGCCAATAGATTTAACGGAATCCGAGATACTATACTCTTCGATGAAAGCGAGCCGACGCGCGAGGTGCGCGTTCGAGTAAATGCGTACCAGAACACTATGCGTGTCGTCATGCGTATCGCCGCTGACAGAGCTCTTGCCGCTGCTGGTACCGATCCCGAGGTCGCTGAGATCATTCGCGTCCTCGTCGTTGTACATAGCCAGGCTGATGCTCAGCTTGCGGCCTCTGTTGCCGCGCTCCTCCATCATCTCCGAGAAGGTCTTGTTTCGACGACGCTGACGGTCGTGCTCCTCCAACTCGAGTTTCTTCACCTCGACCACTCGCTCGATTATATGCTCCTGCCGCTTCCTCCGGCTACTCTTCCAGTTGTCCAAATTCTGCGGAATGGTCCCCTTTTATTACCAAGAAAATCGTACCAGCCGCTCATCTTCTAAATGTAAGCTTTCAAACCTTTCAGGGATCTTCTAATATCTCTTGTAATGAATATTTTCGTGATTGGAAAATCAGGAAGATAACAATTTATAACAGATTGAGACACTATTGGAATCAATAGCGTGTATTTAGAAAATCCGATACCGGAGCGGTCACACTGCGATATACTAGTACAGTCTAAAAATTTTCTCTAGCCGAATGTCTATACACGTCTATCACCTTCGGCAGTTCAATAGCGGCTGACTCTGTCAACCGTTTTAGCGGAGATTCTAACGATTACATTAGAACATGTGTTTAGATGGCGCGATTCATTACACTCTAGTAATTTTCTCCGGAATTGTTTCATTTTCGATCAGGATATTGGGATTAACTTGCAAGCACTCCTCTGATAAGTTTTGTTCTTCTGAGGGATTGTCGGTTTTATTAACCAAATCGTCGGTTTAAATAAATTGGTAAATAAGATATGCGATAATACATGAAAAATATGATATTTAGTTAATCTTCAGTAAGAATTTTGATAAATAACAAATATAGATAAAACGAGCTCCAATATCTTGAATTTCGGTATTATTTTTTATTCGATCGATTATTAATGACCTTAAAATGATTGATAAAAATGTATAGACGTTTTTTTACAGTGTAATCCGTTTTGTAGTGACAAATTGTACAACAAAAATACAAGTCGCCGAATACTTCTCCCTTCAATATTAATAAGATGGTGTCTTCGAAGTTTACTCACCGATTGCCAGTCCTCGGGATCATCGCGGACCTCCTGTTTGATTTTTTTCACCTCTTGGACTTTCTGCAGTTGCTCCTGCGCGGTTCGATACAGCGAGCATGGTCCGACTTTGACGAATTGTAAAGGATTGGTCGCTTGCTTGGGAGGCGTCTTTAAAGTCGTTTTCAATTTCGGTGGTTCGTGCGTCGTCAGCTGTGAAAGGATGGTAGATCATACGCAATGTATTCCCTTCTGTGCATTTGGTAATGGAGGAAAGTCCCCTACTATGAGACAGGTTCCTAATATGAAACAGCGGGATTTCTACTAAATTAATAGGCGTCGTGTCTTGGTCCCACCATGAATTTATTGCCCTTGGAGTGAGATCTGTTTAGTTAAAAATTCATTGCTGGATTGTGTAATCGCCGCGAAAAAAGATTGCGATTGCATTTGGATGTTGAACACCTGCTATCTCGTATTAGAAGCCTATCTCATGATAGAGAACTTTCCTCTATTATCAAACAACTTGCAGTCACGAGGCAAGATACGATTTTTAGATAAGCCATAATCAATGTAGATTGAAATGGAATGGTATGTAGACAGTTTTCTACAAACAAGTGTCTCGAAATGTTATCAGACTTGAACGTAAAAAAAAAATAAAAAAAAATCAAGAATATGCACCGATCTTTTTTTTCCAGAAATTGTATAAATCTATTTTTATCCTTGTTACTTGCACACTTGTTTTAAACATAACATTTGGGGAGAAAAGAGAAAACATTCGCAACGAATACTAACCACTCTTTCGTTTCGCCGCTCGGACGCGGCGGTCTGCGACGAAGCAGGCATCCTTCGCGCTTTCCTGCTTCTCTCGCTTTTTTGAGATACTCCTCCTCTTCAGTGTTGAACGACACCTGTTCGCACGGCTCGGCCCATCCTAAGTCCCGTTCCTGCCAAAACACAATTGCCGAAGGTTAACACGGAGAATCTTTACGCAATCGCACAATAATATATGACAAAGCCCGTCTCTCGCGATCGTCTACTTAAAAATTCTGATGGCGATCAAAAAGAATCGTCGATATAATTTATGATAATTTAGGTAATACCCTTTTGGGATAACTCGGCAACACTCAGTCAGGACTCTTGTTTGTGGCCAGTAAAATAAAAAAAATAGATAATTAACAATGCGAAAGATTCTGTTCATCTCGTATCACAGACGGTATTTCGCAAGGGGGTAACCACCTAATGTAATCGTGGAACAGTGTCTCCGAAATCATTACGAAATCTTTAGGAAATCCCCATATAATCGTTTTACATATCTTCATTTTCAAGTTTCTTCAATTGTTAGTTAAACGTTAAAATTGAACATTTTCTCAACTTTCATTTTCCCCCAAAATTTACTTCTTTTAAAGAATTATTATTATTCTTTTTATAAACAGACTGAAGTAGTTGCTGTTAGAACAACAGTGAGTTGAAACGTTGATACACCTGTGCGCGCAAATTTTTAAACGTGCATATAAGGAAATTATTTGTAATTAAATGAAATTATTTGTAATCAGATGAAATCGTATGAAATCAAATGAAATCATGTAATCGATGGGACATTTTAGCTAGTGGTTACCCCTTTGGTATTTCGTCTTAGTTAGACTTTCATTTATTGCAGATGTTCGCCTTGAATTCTCGAGAATGTTTATCGCCCTGCGCACAAATATTATCATATTTGGTTTATGCTCGCGCGTCATATCCGCTACACGTGTGCTATTTCCGAAAGCGCGCGCCATTCCAAAATACGTATCACTTCCTTCTGACAGGAAAAATTTCAACAAAAAAACAAACTTGCAGCGAAGAGATGAATTCTCAAAATTCTCCCGAAGGTTTCACGACACTTCGTTCTCCCTCTTGAACGATTTATATATTAAAATAATTATATAGGATCTTTCCTAAAATACAAAACCTCTGGAAGAGCCGTCACCTCGCCAACGTGTCCGGCTTCACAATTTTTATTAAGGTGGCTCCTGCACAAAGGAGCGGGCCTTTTTAATTTTTGTAAATTCATACGACTTTTTTCATACAAAAATATCACTTAATGCATTATTGATCAAATGCATTAATATGCTAGGTTATATATGCACGTTTAAAAACATATTTAAAAAATATGTGATGCTGTCAAGTCTCAAAGAGCTGTCAAATTTCCTCAAAACATTGTATCTTTTGACTTTACTAACAAGTATTTGCTTGCAGAGGTCGGTGACCTCATATATTTCATAGCGCATTTTAATCCTTGCGACATTTATTATGTTTCCCGCGGTTTTTGTGAAGATCTACTTTTTCTATAAAATAATATTAAACCTCAAAATGCTTCTGCGAGCGACAGGCCCATAATCCCTATCCCAGTGAACACCACGTGATAGTTGCACAACATGAATATTATAATTTCCTACTTAACAATGCAAATGTAATATAACATGGGTGTTATATTACATTTATCTTGTTGAGTAGGAAATTATAATATTGATGTTATGTAACTGTTACTTGGTGTTTACTGCAATGATAAAAAGATACAACTTTAGCATTTTTTCACACCAGTCTTTTCTTGACAACATCTGGCATTTTTAATAATACAGAAAATTTATTGCAAAACCTATTACCTCACCCTGGCTGAGGCGATAGGTTCCGCAATAAATTTTCTGTATTATTAAAAATGCCAGATATGATCAAGAAAACACTGACGTTGTTAATTACTGCTGGTGACATTTACGGATATTCTTATAAGTTTAACATTTTTTCTTTATTTTACTTCATCGGCGACCGGGTCTGAAATTTCGCGCACTGACAGGTAAAATTCACAACTACCACGTACTTAAAAATTCAATTTTTTCGACTTTTGGTCGGTTTATGCAGGAGCGCGACCTTAAAAGGAACGATATCTCGGGACGCTCTGAAGCGATGCAAATCGCATTTTTTCCCGAGCGCGCGGATGTCTACGGGTACGGCACATCGAGATGCACTCGCCGATAACTGCCCGCATGTTCGCCACGGCGGAGCATGTCGCACCGGGGTCGTAGACTTCGATACGTCCGATTGCATCGCGCAGCCAGTCGATAGAATCCCTATGACACCTATGACATCGCGATCATTTCAATGGCCGTGGTTATCCGTGCCTACCGGCGTGTACCAAACCGCCGCGCGTCGCAAAGACGAGCAACACGACGCTTCCAGGTCTGCTCGCCGCGGATCGCTCGCGCAGACTCCGCCGCGAGCGGGTAGCCCTTTCGCAGCGGTTCTGGAGCGAACGGCGCGGAATGCAGTCTTCGAAGAGGGAAATCGAGGGAACGAAAAAAAAGAGAAAGAGAGAGAGAGAGAGAAAAGATCGCGAGGAAGTCAAGGCTGGATATTTCTGTCGCTGCTTGGCTCGTGCGCGAACACGCGTAACAGTTTGGCGTTTTCCTGCGGTCTTATTTAGTTTGTCCAGGACCGCGATGAACCGCGAGCCGATTATCTCCGCTCGGACGTGAATTTTTATTAACGCTCGCGCTTTCGTGTAAAATTTGCTAACGACCGACGGAACGTGGTTCTCGGCGCTCGCGTGAAGAATATCCGTCATTAGAGCGCCAAGTGCCCATTTCGTGACGGTATCGCGTGTGCGAATGCGTCTTTCCAGAAACGCTCTAGAAACAAGAGTTCCATAAGATGAGACGAATAAATTTTCCTCCTTCTCTCTCGGCAAATAGAAGAAAGAAGAGACTGTATCTTCGACATTTGAAAGTAATATCTACATGATATACAAGGGTATTTCTGAGTTTTGTGCTTAAATGCTTATTCTGGACCGGAATGAGCGTTTAAGCATAAAAGAATCGAAAACTGCGTAAAATCGAGATACGACCTTGCGAGAGAGATCGGTCGATTTGTTAAACTATGACGTGGGATCGCTGTACCATGAATACTGCACGGGGGGGGGGGGTGGAATTTTCTCTTAAAATTTACCCTGAAAACCGTGTAATCGTGGGACAACATGGCATTTTGAATAACTTTATGAGAGTTTTCTGAAATTTTTACTAGTAAAATGTATGGTAAAATTGCAGAAAACTCTTAATAAGTTTTTGAAATTTTACCATACATTGTACTAGTAAAATGTGTGGTAAAATTGCAGAAAACTCTCATAAAGTTCCTCAAAATGCCATGTTGTCCCACGATTACATGATTTTCAGGATAACTTTTCAGGGAAAATTCTCTCCGTGTGTGAAAAACGAAAATGAAGATGAAATCGTTGCGATAAACAGAACGTTTCTGGGAAGAGTTCAAATAGATACGGAAAGATGACGTAATGAGCGCACTTGATGCATGCGTAACGTTCGTTATCAAGCATCCTATAATCCACATCACAAATTAATTAATCAACCATCACGCGATTGCATCTAAATATTCACAAAGAAATGTATTTTTATATATTCCTGTGTGCATCGCCGGGGCGGCGGATCGGCGGTCGCAGTTGCATACGTTCTGAAAATATCGCCCGCTATTTTGTGCGCGCAACCGCGTCTAAAAAGCCTGGACCGCGTGGCAAATCCGCGCGAGTTGCCGCCAAAATAATCTCATATTTTTCAAACCTCACGAGCGCCCGTATCCCTTCACGCAAAATGCGTTTTGTCTCGCGTTTTCTCCCGCGAAGTCCCCTTTTTATCTCCGCGAGCTAACTACGTATTTGGCGAGGGGGAAACCGCTGACCAAAATCTTGTACACCAATGCCCACTAATGCCCAGTGGGCATTACTTTATCTTATTATCGTCTTTTATTTCATTTATCTTGTTTTATCTTATTTTATCTTATTGTATCTTATTGTATCTTATTGTATCTTATTTTATCTTTATAATGCCCCAGCAAGACGTAATGCCCAAAAAATGCCCTAGTAATGCCCAGTAATGCCGCAAATCTGTACACCACAATGCCCTCAGCGGTTTCCCCCTCGGTATTTGGTGGAGGGAAGTGGGCCAATGCGAGCCAAACGCAAGTATTCGTGCGAAAATACCAAGTGTGAAACTTTTTATTGAATTTATAAATCAATCTTCAAACGTTTCGACCCATTTTCGGGCCATCCTCAGTGAAACCACAGAGACAAATATGTTCGACGCTTAAATACAATACTGTCATCTAGAGTAATCATCTGACATGTTCACATGAGTCTCCAAATGGTGAAAGCCATAAAGAGAGAGTGAGAATTCTAAATTTAACATACAAAATTAAATCTAACTGCGTATGTCAGTCAGTTTTTCGTCTCGCAAATAAGACAGTAGCACAATCGATTCATTTCAATTAATGCTCCGAAAAACTGGGAATAACGAATTATTGTCTTTGACTGACAATTACGAATTATTTCTCATTATTATAACAATTATTGAGGTATTCTGTCTCGCGGAGAAATGTACCTAGATTCGAAGGAACAAAGGAATAAGAGCCCAGACAGGATGTTAAATGTCTAAATGATTTTCATTTAAAAATTTACTGCAAAAAATATTACCTCAGCCAGGGTTCATAATTGCATGAATTAGTATTTAAAATAAAAAGTGTAGCACTCGTGATAATTATGTTTGAGAAAATCAAGTAAAACTCCTTGATTGAAGTATCATTTTGTCATATTGTCATTTTTTATTTATGAGATTACGGGGAGGAGAAAAAACATTGCGAAAAATATTACCTCGGCCAGGGTTCATAATTGCATGAATTAGTATTTAAAATAAAAAGTGTAGCACTCGTGATAATTATGTTTGAGAAAATCAAGTAAAACTCCTCGATTGAAGTACCATTTTGTCATATTAATTGTCATTGTTTATTTATGACATAGGGCGAAGAGAAAATGCAATTTCGTTTCTTCTCTCGGCGCACGCGCATTAATCTCGCACGGCGACGTATCGGTGACTTAATTTTTTTTTTCAACGCGACCTGGATGTCGACT